GATGAGGAGGAGGAGGAGGGGAGGTGGAGGAGGAGGAGGAAGAAGAGGAGGAGGAGGAACAGGAGGAGGAGGAGGAGGCGGAAGCGGAGGAGGAGCAGGAGGATGAGGAAAAAGAGGAGGAGGCGGAGGAGGAGGAGGGCCAGGAGGAGGAGGCGGAGGAGGAAGGGGTGGATGATGATGATGCTGCTGATGATCATGGTGATGATGGTGCTGGTGGTGGTGATGATGATGATGACGATGATGACAATGATAATGTTAGAGATAAATATGATGATGATGATGATGATGATGATGATGACGATGATGATGATGATGATGGGGAGGATGACATCCGCACAGCAGGAGGTACAACGTCAGAGGAGCACCTACTCAGGCGACCTACGCGCTACTGCCAAAATCCCTTGCGATTCGTTGTGCTACAACCCTGCCTTCTCACTAGGGCGGGGAGGGGGCATGCCGCGCAGCTCAAGGACCGAGCTCCGAGGTGGCCCCGTAAGAGAGGCTCGCTACATTACATCGCGAATCCCTTCGGGTCGGCGCGGGGGGGGCGGCCGCTGGCCTTTCCGCGTGCCCAAAGGGGAGGGGGCGCGCGGGCTTAGCAGGGCGTCCAAGCCAAGGGGGGGGGAGACGACAACGCGACCTCAAAAGGAGGAGAGGGGGAGAGACGGAAGGCCCGAGACCCCGAACTGTTGCTTGGGGGGCAACTAAATCTACAGTTTGAATGCCGTGCTCCCCTCTCCCGCTCGGATCACTACTCGGTCGTGCCGAGAGATGCTCTATGTATTGTCACATCTGTACTCTGGTACCCTGTTGAAGTAGCCCAAGGTTCCCCCTCGGAGCGTATGGGGTAGACCGTGCTGGAAGTCACGGTCAAAGGTAGGGCCAATAAGGAGCACGCCGGTGAGCTTCCTGATGGCCACTTTTATCCCCCTCGACACCCTGCAGTAGTGTACCTGGTGGTACTCCAACAAGTACCCCCCGTTGCGATGGCGATGCAGGCGCTCCGTTGTGCCCATAACTGTCTGTCATGAACTGTACTCCGAGAAGCCTCGCTAATGCTCTTCCTGACTGTCTGCGGGCACGGCCAGCTCGCATCTTGCCTAGATTAGGATTCCGAGAAGACTCGCTAATGCTTCCTCTTGGCATACCAGCAGGCTCCAGTGGGTGCACTCACTGGTGGCCGCTGGATGAGCTGGCCGCAGTCGTCTCCTCCGACTTGGTGTAGCCGAAATTTTCCTCGAAGATCTCGGTGCCGGCCAGCATGGTCTAGGTGCTGTCTCGTAGCTTCTGGCTCTCCTTCAGCCCCTTCACTTCCTCTGGGTCCATGCTGTCCTCGTTGTTCATCTCCTTAGTGGCAACCATCGTTACTTTGCGG